CTGGCAAGAAAGCACTGGGAATACATCGCAATTCTGAGTACACTAAAAATACACTAGGAACCCAATCAGCTTACGCTACAAAAGGGACACAATCGAAAAACAGCAGAAACGTCAGAGGTTAGCAGTGGAAATCGAATAAGCACGACGGTGACGTGGCAAACGTTTTTTGTGCCTTCTGTTGCGACGAGGGCCTCCCAGGAAGCCCAAACATGGGAAAACGAAGGAAGGGCCAAGCGGCACCTTGTCGTCCTCTAGCTCTTCCTCCCCCTCCCCTCGGGAGCGGCCAAGAGGGGGGTGTCCAAGAGGGGGGGGGGGGGGGGCAAATCATGACCAGCGGCATGTGCGCGGCCAAGCGGGGGGGCCAGGGACGTAATGAAATGAGAAGAGGCGCCATGAGATCTGGGAAATATCATGGCCGACGCCATGTTATCTAGTCATCACCCCCCTCTTTTCCGCTCCCCCTCCCCCGCCCCCGCCCGGAGGCTTCCGCGCACGGGGCTCCCGAGCGGAGGCCTCCGGGGAGGCAACGTCGGGAGGAAGAGCAGCGGGCCCCGGATCACGCCGCATCGCCGCCGCACCGGAAGTGCGGTGTGGTCCCTCGAAGCCGTCTACAGTGAAACGCGTGATGAGCATTCGCGGTCAGTACTCCAGATTTCGTAATAAAAGGGAGGGGGTCTGGACCCTCCAAGACAAGCCATTTCAGACCCCCCCCGTGGGAGAACCCTCCAAAACATCGTCCCCAGACCCCCCCAGGCCCTCCAAGATAGCTTGGAAAAGACCCCCCCAGGAAATGAGACCCAGCTCCCTTTATTACGAAATCTGGAGTATGCATGGGCCTCAGAAGGACACGCGGGCGCTTTTCGAAGCGGGCTGGCCAGCGAAGGTTGCCGATGATGGGCTGCAGGGGCAGGGGTGCAAGGGCAACCCTGGGAAATTGCTCATCCTGGCCATGCGCTTTGTCGGTACACCCCGGCCCCACTCGAGCGGCCTGGGAACACCGAGGGAAGATCCCCTTGCTCCTCCTGGTGCTCCTCCCGACGACTTCTCCCTCGCCAGAGGCCTGCGCAGACCTCCGAGGACTTCCGCCAGAGACCTCTGAATCTGCGGAGCTCTCCAGAGATCTCTCCAATGACTTCGCCAAAGACCTCCTCCTCTTCCTTTCCCTCCCCTCCTTGTTTAAGCACACCGCTACTCCGGAGGAGCAAGTATAAACGGAAGCTGGGGGACGAGGACAAAGAGTGGAGAGGAGACTCTCCTCCATCCTGCCCCGAGATCCCAAATATTTGGCGATAGAACCATCGTTCAATCCATGGGCCCCGAAGATTCCAATGCTTTCCCCAGTCGTGCTGTGCCATCTTGCATCGTTCTCTGATGGACCTGAGGCCCCCAAATCTGCCCAGGAGGCTGACGTTCATGGGAAGACACCAGGATCGAACAAATCAGTCCTCCGGAGATCTTGACCACATGCAACGCGCGGCGCTCATGCGTTGCAAAAATATGCGATTGTATCGACGAGAGTCGGGGGCGCGCAAACATGGATCGGGGGAAGCCAAAATGCGGCCAGTGCCGCCTCGCTCGGCGGCGGAAATCCAAGACTTCCCATGGAAACGGGACCCGTCGCTAGTCCACGCCCCCTTGATCCATGCTTGCGATCGCCCGAGAGAGCCCAGGAAGAGGAAACCTCAGACATACAGCGACACCCAGGGAGATCCTGGCTCCGCGCGCCAGGGATGGGGGGGGCCACTGGCGATCCAGAAGAAGTCCGCGCGGACCTGCAACGGCCGTAACTTCCGTGTACAAGTATAGCATGATGTGTACGCGTCGGCTGGTATTGCTTGATCCCCCTCCTCTCTGCAACACGTCCTTCTGTCGAAGCTGCTGGTGGCATGCTGTCGCGAGTTCTTCATGGCTCGCGGGCGTTCACCTCGGCACTTCCAAATCTGATCTCGCTGACGTTATGGCTTCTCAAAGACTTGCCAGCAACTTTGTGTCTCCAGAGGTGGGAAGCACAGCACAGCTGCCTAACGCCGTCTCCACCTGTGGGGCACGCGCGTTTTCGGCGCGAGATCGCGCCTGATCTGACCTCCTTCGTGCAAAACAGGAGGCCGCACCCCCGGGCAGAGTGGCTCGCCAGGACTGGGGGGAGGGGGGGGCGGGAGGCTTCCTCGCCGCGGCGGACTGGAACTCGGCGGCGCAGTTGAGCATAGGCCTGCCCCAGAGGGAAGAGGAGTAGATGAGGATCGAGGGAGAGGAGGAGGGGGAGGAGGAGGAGGAGGATAAGGAGGATCGAGGAGGAGGAGGAGCTCGAGGGTCGAGGGCGACCGAGGAGTTACGACGATCAGGAGGAGGCGACGGATCGATGAAGAGGCTTTTGAGCAACAGACCACACCTTGCCATCGCTAGAACGCCCATTCACCGTGCACGTTTCGGTGTTTGGTGCGTGCCTTTTGTCGTCTCGATGCTCCAGGATGCTCTTTGATGGTCCTCGCCGAAAAAATGCACACGTCCGAGCGATGCCAAGTACACCGGCACAGACACACACACACACACTCACACACAGACGCACACTCCAGGGCGGACGCAGGCGGCGCAGAGGACCGCTTTGGCCACCGCGTGCCCCGGCAGCACCGCCTGCGATGGATCCTCTGGCTCTGCGTGCTCTCCGGGGCCCGGCGCAGACGGCAGCACCGTCGAGCTCTTGGTGACGTCCCGGGCGGCAGCCCCGGCGGCGACCTCGCACTTGGCCGCCGCTGGGGAAGTGCGGACAACGGCGGCAAGCAACCACGAAACAGTGGTCACTGGTTTGCGGATAAACAGCGGTATGCCGGAGCTCCACAAAGCTCGCGGCATCGAAACCTCGGATCCCGGCCCCACGACCTCCTCGGCAGATTCCACGCAGAGGCTTCAGAACAGATGGGGGTCATCTGCAACAACGTTCGCACTGCCAGTATCTTCCAGACCGGCGCTCCCTCCTTCTCCATTCTCCCTCCGCATCCTCGTCTTACCCCGTGCTCCACCCCTCCTCCTCCACCTGCCCTCTCCCTCCTCCTCCTCGCCCCCCAGCAGACCAAGAAATGGCAACGAAGCGTGCATCACGATTCATCCTCATCACCACCACAATGATTCCACCTCCCCCTCCCCCTGCCCCTCCCCCTCCTCCTCCTCTCTCCTCCTCCGCCTCCTCCTCACCCCTCTTCCTTTGGAAAGGGGCAACACGTAGCTCGGTCTGGATGTCCAGGGCCACAGCTCTCAAATGGAGATCGCTTCAGCTGGAGGCACCCCGGTCCGAGTTCGGCACCGCTTCGCGTGGCGTTTGGCCGAATGCCCGTCCCCGTGAGACCAGGTTGACCAGCCTGGCCACAGCCGGGCGCCAGGCCTGTTGAAGGTTACGCGCGTGGGGCTCGGGCCGCCAATGCTGTACGGTGCCGCGTGTCTGGGCTCGGACTGCTCCCGTCTGGACGAGGCCCGCATCCTGCTGGCCAGCAGTCTGGGGGGGGGGGACTCGATACAGTGCGAGCTCCACCACAAGGGACCTTCCACAGGACACCTGGCCATGAGACCCCAGGACGTCCATTGACTTCTGGTGTGGGAGCGTCGCGCTGTCCATCGCAGGACCGTCGAAGCCCAAGAAGCCCAGGGAACCCTGGAGGCAAGCAGGGTGTTTCTTGGCGTGGGCTTCCGCTGGATTTAGGTCGGGCGCGTCCCCCTGCATGCCGATTTGGGACGAAAAAAAGAACCGAAAAATACTCCAAACTGGTCCAACATGCTCGAAAAATCGTCCCCGGGCTCTTGTTACTATTTTTGACTATTCCTCGTGTAGAGGGACAGGCCCGACTTCACGCTGGACGCGAGGACCGCGCCCGCCGCCCCTGGGCTCTGTCGGGCGCCCCGCGCGCGGGCGCGTGCACTCTGCCCATGCTCCGACGCGCGGGGGGGCTGCCTGGGAGGACCGCCGCACCGAACGGATGCCGTCGGCGTGACGGCGAGCTTCGTCAGGGCACGGACAATGACATACAGTCGGACCCGATTGGACACGACACGCGAGAGGACCCGAGACCCTTCCGAGGGCCACGTTGTCACAGGAATGTGGGAAGCATGGGTCGGGAGACACAGGACACATGGGTACCCTCGATTTGGCAGGGTCGACCTACTAATCAGAGCCGACTGTAAGGGAACGGACAATGACATAAGCATAAAAACTCGGAACTCCGCGCGGATTCCTCGGATCGGCGCTGGGGCTCCCCCGCGGCGCCTCCGGCGCCGCCCTTGGCGCACTCAGCGCCGAGAAATCCGCGCGGACCTCCGAGTTGTTATGTTCATGTCATGTCTCGTCCCCCTGGCCTCTCCGAAGCCTGGCTACAGCCTTAGGCGGAGCACAAAAGAAGGTCCTGCTTCTGATGTCTTCGCCACCCTCCGTCGTATGTCATGGGGCTGGCCGTCGTGTGGGGCCTTCCAGCACCATCTGTGGCAGTAGTGGGTCTCCGCTGCGCGGCTCCAGAAGCTGATCTGCTGCCACCTTGAATATATTGTTGAGTTTCGGCCCGGGCGGCCGACAGGGGCCTGAGGATCTCTTGGTCTTGCCTTGAGCCCATCAGGGCCATCCTCAATCGCACGGATATCTAGAAGAAGAAAAACTGCATAAGCATCAACTTTTGGCGCTCCGCGCGGAATTGTTGAATCCGCGCTGGGCCCCCCCGGCGGCGCCTCCGGCGCAACCCTTGGCTTGCTCCTCGCGCCCAGGAGGGGGGTCCAGCGCGGATACAAGGAGAAACCCGCGCGGCGCGCCAAAAGTTCTTGTCCATGCCCTTCCTCTTCGACAATCAATTGCCACAGAGGAAGTCCCGTCCTGGCGTACCACGGTCGGGACTTCTGGACTCGGGAGAAGGTGGGACGCGCAGTACTAATACTATATGTCCTCCTTGGAGGCGCGCGTCCGACCCGAACAGATAGTATACCCATCTTGAGGTGTATCGTTTCCCGGGCGGCGTGGCCAGAAGGCGCCCGTCACGACGCATATACTGTAAGAGTTCTCGGTGCGCGCGTCGCCCCTGGGGGGACGACTCACATGTAGTATATAAGTATGTTGGGGTGGCGCCAATGAGGTCTGGCGCGCTGGATCCGGGGACGACAGACCGCTGCCAGGCCTGCGGATTCGAGAGAGGCCGCTGCCCTGCCGCTGCCCTCGTGGAGCGGCCGCGCGTGCGCAGACACAGCGGAGAGGCCGACGACCTCCAGGGGATCAGGAGGGAGGGGAGGGAGGGAGGGAGGAAGGGAGGGGAATGAGCGACCATGAGGGGATACCATCTTGGGGGCTTGAACGATCCTCCTCCATCCTGTCGTCCTTCTCCTCCTCCTCTTTCTCCTTCTTCTCCTCCTCTTCCTCCTCCCCCATCCTCACACTCCTCCTCCTCCTCCTCACCCTCCTCCTCCTCCACCTCCTCCTCCTCCCCCTCCTCACTCCTCCTCTCCATCCTGTTCCTCTCCCTCCTCCTCCTCTTCCTCCTCGTCGTCGTCGTCGTCCTCCTCCTCTCCCTCCTCCTCCTCCTCCTCCTCCTCCTCCTCCTCCTCCTCCTCCTCCTCACCCTCCTCCTCCTCCTCCTCCTCCTCCTCCTCCTCACCCTCCTCCTCCTCCTCTTCTCCCTCCTCCTAATCCTCCTCCTCCTCCTCCGCATCGTCCTTCGGACCCTGTTGGAGGTTTTCAAGGTTTCTGGTCGCCTGAGCTGCGGAACCCAAAGCCCTCGTTTTCGTCCTTTTCCTCCTCCTGCTCCTTTTCCGGAATTTGCAAAATAGTGGTGATACATTGAAAACATGTGAGAGTTCGAAGGCTTCCAAAACCTTTAGAACCTTTGTTAAACGTTTACGAGCTTGTAAATGTTCGGGACCCCAGTATTCCAGTATTTCTGAGAATGCGGAGGTCTGGAAATCGAGGGCCCAAGGATGTTAAAAGTTCTGAAACGTCACAACATTCAAAAATTCCAGGGTGATACTGTTTCTAAAACGTTGGAAACGTTAATTGGCCGTTTTGGCGAAGCGAAAACGGCCAATTCCTTAATCGACGTGTCAGGGTAGGAGGTCTGTCCACCCCCGAATTGCAGCACTGTCCTCTCCTGGAGGTCCTCCTAATCTCTCCTCATCCTCCTCCTCCTCCAGCTCCTCCAACTCCGGAATTCCTCTCTCTCTCTCTCTTTCTTTCCACCGCCTCTCCCTACTCCCGAGCATCCATCCTCCGAACAGCAGACACCCGCCTCCTCCCCCCTCTCCCCCGCCGCCGCCCCATCGCCCTTCCACCGCCCATCTTCCTCCCCCCGACTGCCCCCCCCCCGCCCCGCTGCCCCCCCCGCCTGCCCCCCCCCCGCGCCTCAGGAGGTCCCCCGCGCGGAGGCCTTGCCCCCGCAGGCCCCCCAGGCGGCAGGGCCGGAAGACGGTGCAGCCGAACTCCTGGGGCGGCGCGGTGGGGTGGGGGTGGGCGGCCGCGCTGCCGCCAGTCGTCGGGGTCGTGGTCGTGGATGCCGACGCCGTGGTCGACGTCTGCATCGTCGCCGTCGGGGGCCACGTCATGCTGTGGGGGTCGTCGTGATACTCGAGGTCGGCGCGGATATCAACGTCGTGGGGCAGGAGGGTGATGAGGCAAGAGGTGGGGGCAGGAGGCAGGGCGAGGAGGGCCGTGGGCGACGAAGGACGGGGGGAGGTAACCAGTGAGAGGAGGAAGGGATTATCTTACAGGGAGGAATCGCAGGACACGGTGGCGAGGATAAGGCAGGAGGCGGAGGAGAGAGAAAGGGGAGCGGGGGCAAGGGCTGTGGAAGAAAAGAAAGCGGGTCTGGCTCGAACAGGGCCATGATGGAGGGCGGCGCGTGCCGGCCATCCTCGTCGTCGTTGTCCGCCAGTTGCCCTCGTCCGCAGTCCTCGACCAATTCCTCGCCTTCCCCCTCCTGCTCCTCGTCCTCATCCTCCACCGCCATCTCCTCACACATCGACCACCCAACCGCAGGGTCCTCTGAATTCCCCAGACTGCTTTGTGGTGATCGCACGACAAGCCACAACGGCGGCCCCAAACGCCCACACGAGACTGGCCCGCCTTCCCGCCACGACTGGCCGCGGCGAGCCCACGGAGCCCCTCTACGACTGAAGCGGTTTCCTCCAGCAGGTGCACCACCATGATCAGGTTCTGGGGCGAGTGGGTAGGGGAGGGATGAACGGTTGCTTCGGCACGGCTACGTTGGACTGGACCTCCGTCGCCTTCAGAATGGTACAGCGCACGACACGGTGTGCGCGGTGACGCTTGCGACATGTAATGCTGATGGCACTCTGCCGTCGAGGGCACCCTGCTGCGCGGAGCGGGCGGTGTGCATCGATGCATGCGGCCCCGAGAACGCCCAGATACTCAGTAAATAGAAATCGAATCGCGCGTGAAGATCACTGGGCGAATACCTGCAGTATCCACAACGGTTGTCGGCTTCAATCGCCCGCGATCGCCGAGCTAAAACCTTCTTTCGACACACGCTTCGGTGGGTATCACAACGCGCGATCAGCACCTCCGTTGAACACAGGCGCCGGCCAGGTGCCCATCTCGAAACACTTCTTGAGGAGTGCTCGGGCGACGCATTTCACGACATCGTGTGCTCTATCATAGAGTGCGAGGGTATCCTGAGATGACTGCATGACCGCATGACCGCGTATGTTTCCCGCGCTTGTTTGTGCGAACCATATCGACTATACATTGGTCGGGATCAGCGGGCAACGCGGGGGGGCGCATTGGGCGCGCCCATGGGTCTACAAAGGAACCCAAGATGGTACGGGTTCGCCGACGCGAGAAAAGATCCCTGTGCGGATACCTGGAGTACCCACAGCGGTTGTCCACTTTAGCCGCCCACAGGCGCCGAGCAACAACAACTTCTCGGCACGCGCCTCGGCGGGCATCACAACGCGCGAACGGCATTTCCGTTGGAAGACAGGCGTTGGACAGGTGCCCATATCGAAACACTACCTCAGGAGCGTTCACCTGAGGAGGGAATCAGCAAGGTCACATAGGAGATCGCGGCCCTGGAAATGGGAACCAAGGCCCCGAATAAGCAGGTCGCCGAAGCCGACCGTGGCTGTGAACAGAACAACTGTGGACCTGCACGCCGGGCCACTGCACGCACACACACACACACACTCACACACACACACACACACACGCATCCACCCCTTCTGGGGAAACTGCGTACGCGAGAAGGCAAAAGGCGTGCACTTGCCGCAGAGCAACCTGAAGGCCTGGAGCACGCACCAAAGGCACGTGCAGCATGAACGCGGCCAGCTGTCAACTGTCGCCCCAATGGCGCGTTCTCTATCCGTGGGTAGGAACGGGTGGGGCAAGGCCCAGGTTCCACAGGGCGCTTGCGCCAGGAGGAAAGTGGGGGGCCCAATGATTAGTCTGGCTACGGGCTCACAGCCTGCCGTACTGCTGAGGTGATGAACGGCCGTTCTTTTCTACCCCGTCCTCTTGATTTCCCTCCTTCCCGAGCCTGACACAAATGTCTGCATTTGCTGATTGGTCGGGCGCGAGCTTCTAATGTGCATGGGATGGTTATGACGCGGTTCTCCTGTTTTGCTGTTGAGTCGCCCAAAACAACGCCGCAGCGCGAATTTGGCATCGCCCGCCTGAGCCATCCTGTGAAAGAGCCGGTGAACAGACGTCGTGGTCTGCCCCCAACCACGCGGGCAATCTCGACCCGGTGGAATTGGGCACGCCTGGCGAGCACACTTTGGAGCGTCGGTGAACCCCAGCGGCCGGCGTCGTGATTGTTCACGACGTGGGGCCCCCAAATGTCTGGGCCCCTTCCCCTCAAGGTCGGGGTCCTTCTGACCCAGGTCAATCCAGACCTGGGTCAGTCAGGCCTTGCGGAATCCTGCGCGCAAGATCCTGCACCCAAGCCCAGGTCCACGCGAAGGATCCTGCAAGATCCTGCAGGATCCTGCACCCAAGCCCGGGTCAGTGCGCCCCTGGCCCTGCAGGATCCTGCAAGACGGGGCGCTCTGTCTGACACCCGTCTGCATTGACCCCCGTCCCCAAGCCCCCGATAGGGACCTGTTTCAATCCCGGGAATTAGGGGCCGATGCTCCCGACGCGCTGTGAAGGCCCAGGGAACCGCCCAGAACAATCCGTCGCGATCTGTTTCAATAGGCCCCGGGACACACAAACAAATACACACAAACCCCAGGATTCCCCATATTTTCTGATATTCTCTGGGTTTCCGTCTTCCTCCCCACTTCCCATCTTTTCCCATCTTTTCCTGGGGATCGACGACGACTTGTGTCTGTGTGTTTTTGTTCCCCTCCTGCTCGTTTCACCACGCGAATGGGTTCGGACAAGCGGGCAGGTCTTCGCGCGCGGACGCGCAATGCCGCCAACCGGTGCGAGAAGCGGGGCAACAGCATGCGGCGCTCTCTTGCGCTGGCGCAGCGTCCTGATCCTCGCGCCCCTATTGGGTGAACCGTTGATTGTGAAATCAGCCCCCATCTTCCTCCACCTGGTTTTCGTTCGAAACTCTATTGTGTTTGATTGAATGGCCGCGTGCTCGCCCACCACCCCTTGTCGCGTCGCCGCGTACGACCGTGTGACGTCGTCCATGGGCGCGTTAATCCGGGTTTGGTTGTTGCAAGTTTGGTTGTTGTCTCCGCCCCTTTCATGTTCGAACCATATGTTGGCATAAATGTGAAGCGCATTGTTCAATTGTTTGAGGCGCAGAGTAAGCCCGTGCGTGTCCCTGCGTCGTAGCCGCCTGTCGCCTCTCGTATGCAAAGTGCAATCGTAAAACAATTCAACAGCACACAAAGCGAATGCGAGGTCGTCGTCTGTAGCACCTCCAGGCCGAAGCATGGAATGATCCTGCCGTCGCACTGGCAAGCGCGTTGGAACAATCGTCGCGACTGCGTGCCATGCTGACTCCGTGCTGTTGTGCCTTCCGCTGCACCGCCGAAAGACACAGCAATGCGTTATCCCTGCATCTGTGCGCGAGTTATCCCTGCGCCCGCGGCGGGCGGTCTGGCTGAGGCCCTCTCTTGTATCCCCCAATGCCACGCCGTGCTCGTGGAGTCGTTCGCTGTCTGCCGATCGTGCGTCCGCTGTTACATCCCACGTTTTGTAGCGACTCCTCCCCAGGTTGCAGCTGTATAGGGGTAAATGATGTGCCCGGTCTCACTCGTTTTTTCCCTGCTCAGCTGGACTGACCCGAAGCTGCTCAATATGGCGGCTGCGCCATTCTGGGTCTTCCAGGTGGAATTGGGGACTCAGCGTCACCCCTGAGAGCTCGACTGCCCCCCCCACCCCAACCTGGCCAGGCCCTCACTTGTCCGATCTCTCATATTACGCATGCCTCCACGACCTGCCTGCTCACGCGTTTCCTCTCGCCACTGCGCTTTATGGGAACAACTGCTAATTCCCGAAAGGGGCTTTCCAGTCGCCTTCAAGTTCTGCAGCTTCGATGCTCTGGTCTGCCAGCACTCCAACATGAAGGCCGTGTGTTAGCTCTTCGATACAAGCGACTGTGTCCAAGTGAGCTTTAGCAACGAAGTGGCATATATATACATACATGTATACATCTAAATATGTATATATGTATACGTATATGTATTCCGTGGCACTCTGCCATTGTCTAGCACTGAATCATGTGCTTACGCATCGTAGTGTGGTCGTTTCCCTGATGGGCACCCAAATGGATTCGAACAGCTTGGCTTTCCTGGAGGTGCCTGCTTCACCCCTGAACTATTGCAGGCGAGCCCCCGTGTCTCGAAATTGCTGGTCAATGTTACTGACTCGGGGCGGCTGAGAAAATGATAATCCCATGGCTCTGCCGCACGTTCGTGACTTGGGAAATCTGAAACGGTGAGAATCCCATAGCCCTGCCACACGCACGTGATTGCGGAAGCTGATATGGTGAGACCGCCATGGCCATGCTCAGCGTGTTTGATGCTGTTGCTAGCCAACATGAGATGATAGCAACTTCGATTCGCAACTCCCCCCAGGGATTATCAAGTTCGGCCTCCGCGCCCCTCTCCACACTTAAATTCTATTGACACGGGATGAGAAATAGAGGGGGGAGAGGGGGGGGCATTTTTATGGGGGGCAGTCGGTTACATGATTCCGTCTACCATTCCACTTCTGATTCCTCGTCCTTCGGCAATATCATCAATCTTCACGTGCACGAGCAGTTACCTCGCACGACTGTCGCATGCCTTGTCCGAAACACTTGCCCAGAACACCACGGACTGCCTCGCTCCATAAAAACCAGGCTGAGTCTGGAATACGTTATTCCGGGCTGTCGTTCCTTCTGTTTCCCAACTCCTCCATCGCTTCTTCCACGTAAGCAAAGCAGCATGGTCGAGCATCCCCTTCCTTTACGCAGTCCAGTAACTTGTTCCTATACAATTCGAAAGGGAATTGTGTTACCATGGCTGTCACAGCTGATCTCGTAGGACTTGGTAGGTGGAGCACACGAAGCATGTGGTATTCTGGCACACTGACTTTGATTAGCTGCAGCCTTTTGGCCGCCGTGCTTAGGCCAACGCATCTTAGTGTCAACGGTAGTGCGGCCGTGAGCATAACTGTGGTCTATGATGCACCCCCCCCTTGAAAGACATAGTAAGCAGGTACAACACCTTGCTCTGAGGCAGGCTCCACTTCCAATCTCTTTTTTTTGTTGTTTCTCTCTCTCTCTATAGAAGACTGCTTTTCCAAGTGACTCACAACTGTCAACCAGTCCACCGCTAGCTCTAGTTAGTCCAGACCGACTGGTGATGACCCCTTCCAAACCTATTGTCGTCCTGCTTTCCAGACTGCCACACTTTTCCTCAAACCATCCGGTAATTCTCGACGCAATCTATTGATACGTTTTCACATGTGCCGGCGCGAAATACACCGTGAAGGAACACACATCGACCTTATTCGATGATATCTTGACTCTTGCTGTTCTGACATCTTAATATTTGATCAGCGATCACCAGGGTTGTGCTGCATGCTTTCGACATCGGTCGTCCCTGTTTGGTTCCAAACTGAAAACCCCCTATTGTGAGTAAGTTCTCAGGTCGTCGTTTCTCCTGCCCTTGACATCTGTTGTGCGTCACGTAGCAGCACCACATCCCACCCCTTGAATCATTGACTTATGTCCTCCATTTTGTCGATCGCGGGCACATGATTGCAAGTCGGAATCCTCAAAGCAAACAAGCTAATGAGCGAGAGAGGGCATCAACATCTGCCTGGCAAGAGTGGGAAGGACGGGCCGCAAGGTTGCTTCAGCAGAACTATGTCGCTTTGGAGCGGGCTTGGTGATCCTTCGAACCTCTTCGCAGCAACTTAGGAGGAGGAGGAGGTAGTTGTGCGGATTCTCGGACAGCGGAAGCACTGAGGAAAACAGAAAGGGCCTCGGAAACAGCACGCGGGCCTGGCGCTGCTCGAGTCAACGATCACGCGCTCCAGCTCTCTGCTCAGGAGACAACTTCTGGCAGGCCTTCGCAAGATCGAGCAACGGCTATTGAGCTCGACCACGGGGCCACTGAGCCACATTCGCCTGGACAAGGCCAGGGATAAAGCGCGATTGTGCCGCTGGGCCACGCGGATGCCAAGAGCGACCTTGGGCACGCCACCTCTTCGTAGCCCCGAAACCGTGTGGTGACGGACCGCGCGGTTACCTCGGAATCCCCAACGACTTCGCCGAGCAGTCCATCACCGCACGTCTTGGGACCTCGGAGGCCCCAGTCGCCCGAGACGTCCTCGGAGAACGACCCGAGTCCCCCAAAGCCGTGCGGCGGCCCCGAATCCCCACTGACTCATCACGCGGTGAGGTCGCCACCGTTTGGGGTCCCTCGACGCCTGGTGGTCTTCAAGGTCGAGACTCAGGCCAAACACAGCCGGGCAGCCCCGGAACGCCCTCGGCGAGGCGCTACGGATGGCACGCGCCCTGGGGCTGGAAAGCCCCCGAGCAGCGCAGAAAACGCTGACGACCTCGAGCCCGAAACATCTCTTCGTGGAACAAAAAACGCACTGTGGAAAAAACACACATGCAAGCGCGCATGCCCGTGAAAAAAACGCACACACACACACACACACACACACTGCGGAGAAGAAACAACCACGTGGTAAAAAACAAAAAACACTGCGGAGAGCAAACGCACACGGTGGAACAAAAAAACCAACGAGACTGTGTGCGTCGGTGTTCTTCCACTGTGTGCGTGTTGTCAAGTGTGTTGCTTGTCCACAGAACCTCGAACTACAGTCAACCCGCAGAGTAAGGATGCGCGTTGAGGATGCAAGGCCCTTGGACGCCGATTTCGGAGCTTTTCGAGCGGGGCGCGGCCAACGAAAGTGTCCAAGGATGGACCCAGGAAGCACGGGTGCAGGGCTACGCTTGGGAAGGATGCCTATCCTTACTCTGCGGGTCGACTGTACAGGAAATGCGTGCTACTAGCACGGCCCCTCACGGGGCCTCTCCCAAAACGGCCGCGGAGTCCGGGAAGCCTTGCTGCAGACCCGCCTCTCCCGCCTGTGCTGCGCTGTGTATGCAGCCGCGTGCGGGACTAATTCGATATGATCTTCGCATGATGCTCGAAGCAACGTCGCATGCACGATCGCTAGATTGTAGCGATCGCTAGACTGTAGCGCTGAGGGTGCCACACCATGGAGACCCTGCAAGAGAAGGACGGATCCCAAGTCGCGATAGAGGCGACGGGCGACCCAGGGAGCACCGGCCCAGCAAGGCCGAGGTCCAATCGGGGAGCTCCTCCTCTGCGTCTTCCTCCTCTTCCTGCTTTTTGCCTCCTCCTCCTCCTCCTTTTTGCCTCCTCCTCCTCTTTGCGTTGAGCGAGCTTCAAGATCTGGGCCTGCAGCGTAACTGAAAACAATCTGTTCTCGGGAGCGGCCACGAAGGGGTGTCTAAGAGGGGGGGGGTGCAAATCATGACCGGTGGCATGTGCGTGGCCCAGCGGGGGGGCCAGGGACGTAATGAAATAAGAAGAGGCGCTATGAAGTCTGGGGAAATCTCATGGCCCCCGCCATGATATCCCCCCCCCCTAGTCATCACCCCCCTCTCTGCCGCCCCCGATGTTCGATAATCGTGCACCTACTTCGGCACACTGGCATCAAACCAAGCCGCTCACATGTGCGGATAACTTAGATGCGGAGAGACCGTAGCTAAAGAAGAGTAACCCAGAAGGGCGTAGAGTAATCCCTCCTCCTCCTCCTGCTCCTCCTCCTCCTCGTCCTCCTGGGCAGATGAGGGGCTCGCGCTTTCAGCCCTGCGCCGTCTGAGCTTAGAGGAGGCCGCAGCGGCAAAAAGTGTCCCCCTCCCCCCTGGGGGACGACGTTCGGGGGCCGGCTTCAAGGGGGGGATCGACCTGGCATCGGCGAAGCATCGCCGATAGATCGGCGGTAGGCTCCCGAGAGCGAAGCCGCACCTTCCTGGTAGGGAAGGTCGACGCATCCCACCCAGAACACATCCCCACCCCCGATCTGATGGGCCGATTTTCCACAACCGCCACCATAGGTAGGAGATGGAGGAGGAGGAGGAGGAGGAGGAGGAGGAGGAGGAGGAGGAGGAGGAGGAGGAGGAGGAGGAGAAGAGCTCCCCAATCCTGCCAGTGGCAGCGGTGGTGGACAACCTGCCCTTCCTGACGGCTGCCAGTGGTCCCCCCCGCTGCCAGCTGGTCGCCGCGCCTGCGGCCGCGCATCCTCCTGGCGCGCCCTCTGCCCCCGGGCAGGTCGCCGGGCTCCTGGCCGCCCTCGGGCCCGTCCAGCTCCAGGCTCCCCAGGGGCGTCCAGAACTGCTTCAGCCCGGGGTAGGGCGCCTGCGCGCCCCGCCCCTCGTGGTCGTCGGCCTGGCCCCCCGTGTCCTCGCTCGTCGCCCCTCCCTCCAACCCCTCGACCCCTGGCTCGCTAGCCCTCCTGGATCGCTAGCCCTCCTCCTCCTCCTCCGTTTCCTCCTCCTCCTCCTCCTTGACAACCCAGGTTCTGCACTCGTGGGCGACCGTCGGCCGTCAGGCCGAACGCTCGGAGTACGATTGCATGTCCCCCCAGTCCTCTCCTCCTCCTCCTCCTCCTCCTCCTCCTCCTCCTCCTCCTCCTCCTCCTCCTCCTCCTCCTCCTCCTCCTCCTCCTCCTCCTCCTCCCGCCCCCACGTCGACTGGGAAACGCTCGGTGGCGGCGGCACTGACTGGGCGGCGGCCACCCTTTTTAAAGACAACTGGGCCTCGAGAAGCACGCCGCGAGGGCGAAGTCGACGCAACTATCTGACGACCTCCCTGCGGTGGAAAAACCAGCCCAACTTTCTGCGCCTGGGCTGCTAGATTGCCCCATTTCCCAAGACGACCGCTGCGGTACTCGCGGAGGCCCTTTGGTGAAGATCCCGTCGGAGCCGACAGCTCCGCAACAAAAACAAAAGAGGACAAACCGAATTCTGGAGTGCACAGTGTTCGACAACTCTTCCCAACCAGGCCCAGCCCCACTGTAAAACCCCGACTCCCCCCACCCACCCTCCTCTGGGATAATGAGTGCCGATACCGCTACTCCCCGGACGTCTCTTGGGGTGCGTTCTGACCAGAATTTCGAAGCGAATCCAGCGGTGGCGACGAGGGCCCCCCAGGAGGCCCAACAAGGGGAAAGCGAGGCATTGGTAGCGGTATGGGTACATTCTTCAGACTTCGATCCTGAAGATCCTCAGGGGGTCCCCGGTCAGGGCCTGCCGCCTCAATAGGGAATTCTCTCCCCTGCGACGCGGAGCGGCCCTCCAGGTACCCGCCAAGGAGGTCCTAGTGATCTCGGCCCTCACTGAGGATGTGGGCCTCGGCGGCCCACTCGGCCACCTCGCGCGCACAGCCATGCAGCCCTAACCATAGCTCGTTGGAACTTGCATCAACACCGCTGCAGAGGCTTCAGGAGGAGGAGAAAGATGAGGAGAACTCAGAGAGGAGGATTGAGGAGGCACCACCAGATCGTTCCGAGAGCACAGGGCAGCGTAAGGGGGGATTGAGGAGGAGGAGCAGGAGCAGGAGCAGGAGCAGGAGGGGGAGGAAGAGGAGGGGGAGGAGGAGGAGGAGGAGAAGGAGGAGGACGAGGAGGAGGAGGAGGAGGAGGAGGAGGAGGAGGAGGAGGAGGTATGTAGGGAACAGGGCGACCGGCGGATTTTTTCTTTCGCGTATACGGGCTCGTGTGTCTTCACAAATGCTCAGATGGTTTTAGGCATACCCGCTCTCACGACGTTCTCCCGGTCCCCTTCCGCCATCCCCTCTACCCTCTCGCGCCTGCTCCTTCTCTTCCCCTGGTCCTCCTCCTACACCGACGCCTCTGCGCCTGCTCTCCCTCTCTCCTCTCTCCTTCACGGATTCAGGGTGGTTCCTTTTCAAACTGTGGCTCTCGCTCCGGCGCGGCGCACATTCGTTTGACAAAAAGGTGCACGGGTTTTACGGATTGGGGGCGGTTCCTTTTCAAATTGTGGCTCTCGCCTTAGCGCCGCGCACATTCGTTTTGAACATTTGAAAGGAGCTTCACGGATTAAGGGCGGTTCCTTTTTTTAAATGTGGCTCTCGCCCTAGCGCCGCGCACATCCGCTTAACACATTTGCAAGAGTTTCACGGATTGAGGGCGGTTCCTCTTGAACATGTGGCTATCGCCATGGCGCCGCACACATTCGTTTTGAACATTTGCGAGAGTTTCACGGATATCATCAACGTACCAGAAATGGTGTTTGGGAAAGATTCAAGATTATACGGGTGCAACAGTTACATTGATTAGCTGTGTTGAAATCCCAAGAATGGCGTTATGGCATGATTCAAGATCGCCAACACGCAGCAGTCAGGTTGATCTGTGGCATTGTAATCCCGCGATCAATGTTTTGGCATGCTTCAGGGTCATCAAACGGGTGTCTTCCAACGAGGCAGTTCCATCAATGGAAATGAACCGTTGTAAGGGCTTGTGAAGAAGGAGTTTGGAGGGAGGTTTTACTCAAACATCGATGATGACTGTTGGGTTTACACTGGTCCTCCTCCTCCTCCGCCTCCTCCTCCTCCACCTCCTCCTGCTCCCCCTCCTCCTCCTCCTCCTCCTCCTCCTCCTCCTCCTCCTCCTTCTCCTCCTCCTCCTCCGCCTCCTCCTCCTCCTCCTCCCCCTCCCCCTCCCCCTCCTCCTCCTCCCCCTCCCCCTCCTCCTCCCCCTCCTCCCCCTTCCCCTCCCTCTTGCCGTCGAGGGTGGCGCCTCCGGTGCCTGCGCAGGGTGCCAGCACAGGTAGTATAACCCGCCTCGGAGGGCCGCTGCGGCGCGCACCGGAGGGGCCGCGCCGCGGGAGGGGAGGAGAGAAGGGGGAGGGAGGGAGGAAGAGAGGGGGGAGGGATCAAGAGGGAAGGGGGGGGAAGGGAACAGAAGAACGGAGGAGGAGGAGAAGGAGGAGGAGGAAGAGGGAGGATGAGGCGGAGGAGAAGGAGGAGGAGGCGGAGGAGGAGGCGAAGGAGGAGGAGGAAGAGGAGGAGGAGGAGAAGAAGAAGAAGAAGAAGAAGGGAAGAGGAGGGAAGAGGGGCGAGGAGGGAGGAGGGAGGGAGGCGAGGTGCGGGAGGAAGATGGAGGAACAGGACGACGAGGGAAGACCTTTGTGGAGCGACCTCTGTTGGTCGGGGGGGCCGCTGGGATAGCGGACACCACCGCCCCCCCCTGGCCTACGGACCACCGTCAGCATCGGCGTCGGCTCGGGGCGTTGGGCTGCGCCTCCAAGGGCGAGAAAAGGGGAGGGACGAACGAGGACAGGTGGAGGAGGAGAAGGGAGGAGGAGGAGGAGGAGGAGGAGGAGGAGGAGGAGGAGGAGGAGGCGGAGGAGGAGGAGGAGGGGGACGAGGAGGGACATGGACGACAAACGCTGGGGGCAGGAGGGTCGAGGAGGGAGGCCAACGTCAAGGTCAAGGCCGCTGGAGGTCCGATGAGTGCCTCATCATCGTGGGCTGGCCTGGGGGTGGGACCATGCGGACGCATGCCCCCCGACAGCCTGCCGTGCTCCACGGGGGATGCCCAGGGCGCCCCTCTGCACACCTGGGGGAGCAGGATGGGGCCCCCACCGGCGGAGGTGCAGGCCAAGAAGCGGAGGAGGAGAAGGAGGAGGACGACGAGGGGGAGGATGACGAGGGGGGGATGGGAGGGAATGGAAGCACATGGCCTGGCAGGGGTACGGACGAGCAGTGGGCGCAGGGGGCGACGCTGACTCCGTTCCCTCGTTCCTTCTGGCACCTCTGCCATGGGGGGGCGAGGGGAGGGGGGGCAGAACGAGAGGAAACGCAACGCAATCCCACGATGCCTCCCCAACCTGCCCCCTTCTCCCTTCCTGTTCCATCTTGTTCTGTCTCCCTCATCCTCTCTGCCTCCTTCTCCTCCTCCTCCCCCGAATCATACTCCTGATATTTCATCATTTCCCTCCCCAACTTTTAGCGCGTGCTGACCGAACTCACCCCATCCCCCTTCAGACCGTTCTCGCCGTGTCATGTTGCGAAATATGAAGCAATCGTGTGTCGTTTGAGCACGACGCGCATGGCGCACAACTTTACTTCCACCAGACGCCTCACTGTAGATTTGCACTGTTCCAGTGCAACAAATGTCCCCAAAGAGAGACGACAACGAAGAACCGAACAACATACACCCGTCGGCATTGCAGACTTCTCCCATCGGTCGCCTTGCTGGCGCCACGCCTCGATGGTTCACCCAGTGGCGGAAAACGTGCAAACTCCAGCGTTCCCATCCGAACGGCATACCACGTCGTGATCGTGTAGATTGCCGAAGAAAACGCGTACTGATGTCCATGGCTGTTTCGCGTCCACGGTGTTCCGCGCCCGTTTGCGCCGCGTTACGGGGCCATGCTATTCCCCAGGGCGGCGACAACCCAACAATCTATATCGGCAGCAAATCGGTGATGGTCTACTTGAACAGGAGTTCCAAGGCCGGCTCTGTCGGCTGGGATATACCGCGAATGCCTTCGGACAACGGCTGCCACTGCACCACTGAGACGAAACGTTTCCCAGGCGGCATATACGATGCGGAAGGTCATCCATAGGTGTTTTGTTCGGACGGTTGCAACAAACCTTGGCTCGCTGACGCTCCTACGAGAACGTCGCTGGCAATATTGGAAGCCCCCGCCGCTCGCATACAATAGGCGACAAACTAAGATCCCCGACATGCGCCCCGCGAAACTGCACGCGTTGCTGAAAGTATGTGATACCACTGTGGTCCAGTGGCACTAACGAACAAATCATCCGATTCCGAGACGTTGCCTGCAGTCGCGCGGAGTGTCCCGCCTCTGCTTTCCAGGAAACGGGCTCACATTTGATCGAATGCCACTGTGCCCTGTTGCGAAAGTTCTGGGCCCTTTTTTGTCTGTTGTTTTTTTTTGTTTTTTTATACAAAAACTTGGTTTCCCTGTGCAAGCGCTAAGGGAACGGTGGCAGCGGCACAAGGCAGTCTATCAGTTCGGTTAGATCCAATGAAGGTGCGCGCGCCCGCAAGCGGTCGGCGTGGAAAGCACGCCGACCTCCCGCGTAAAAAGCGCGCTCGTCTCTGAGGGATAACGGAGAAACGCGCTTTCTCTCAACGGAAACCTGTCGAGATTATGTGTACGCCTCTCTTGTGCCGCTGCTGTGTGACAGCCTGCTCAGAACTCGTCGCCGTAGCCCTCCCCCTCGCCCTCGCCCTCCGCGATCTCGATGCCCACCTCCTCGTAGTCTTTCTCCAGCGCCGCCAGGTCCTCGCGAGCCTCGGAGAACTCACCCTCTTCCATGCCCTCACCTACGTGCCAGTGCACGAAAGCGCGCTTCGAGTACATGAGGTCGAACTTGTGGTCGATGCGGGAGACGACGTCTGCGATGGCAGTGGAGTTGCTGATCATGCAGCACGCGCGCATCACCTTAGCCAGGTCACCACCAGGAACCACAGTATGCGGCTGGTAGTTGATACCGCACTTGAAGCCCGTGGGCACCAATCCACAAACAATACGCACCCGCGAGCGGGCCGCGCCGCGGCCTCGGGTCGGCCCTCCGGGGGGGATCTCGTTGACGCAGTAGAGACCCCACTGCGCGCTGGATCTGTTACGGGGCGCCACTCCCGTAGAACCCCTTTTCTGGATTCTGTAGCTGTTCGGAGCAGGCCAGGAGCTGCAACGGCAAACCAGCGCGACGGTCCGCGCATGGGCATTCCTGTAGGCCCGAGCTTTATAAGGCGCTCCCACATGTAGGTCGGCTGGCCCACCCACCTGTCAGGCTGCGACCCGCGGGCCGGTTGAATTCCCTGCATGTCTTTGGCCCCCCCGCCACTGCCTGCGCGGTGGCACGAGCACCGAGAATCCCGAAGCTGGGAACACCCTGGGCACCTCGTCAGCATATGGCCCGGTCAGCAGACAGTCCCACGTGCGAGGTACTTCTCCAGCCCAGAGCCACGCCCGCCAGAGCCTCGTTGGCCGCGTCAACCACGTGCCGTTGGCGCCCTTCCACCGCGGAGGGTAGCCCGCGAAACCTCCGGCGAGCCGGAGGGGGCATGAGAGGCTGCCACAGCGCCGTGGGATCTCCCCCGCCCCCCTCCAGACTTTCGTCGGAAGGCGGGGCTGGACTTTCGGCAGCAACGCGGCAAGGGCACGGGCGCAACCACCTCCGAGCCCCCCCCCTGCCGGGCCGCGGCCGTGGCCGTGGCCAAGGGGCCCAATCCACGAACTGAATGGTACGCTTGGTCTTGATAGTAGCGCTCGCTGCGTTCACATCCTTGGGCGCGACGTCTCCACGGTGCATCAAACAGCATGCCGTGTACTTGCCACGACAAAGGTCGCACTTCACGTGCATGGATGCGGGCTCGAAGACGGGCGCGGTGATCTCCGCTACTGACAGCTGCTCATGGCACGCCTTCTCAGAAGAGACCACTGGAGCGTAGCTCGAGAGCATAAAGTTGATGCGCGGATAGGGTGCCAAGTTGGTCTGGAACTCGGCGGCATCCACATTCAGAGCACCGTCGAAGCGCAGCGGCGCAGTCAACGAGGAGAGGATCTGCGCCAGCAACCTGTTCATATTGGTGTAAGTAGGACGCTCGATGTCAAGGCTGCGGCGGCATGTGTCGCACAACGCCTCGCTGTCGCACGCGATGGTCGCGCCTGCGTGTTCCAGGAGAGAGCGCGCGTAGAGCACCGTGCTGTAAGGCCCCACCACTGCGGTGGCGACCTGCGGGCACGCCCACACGGCGAAAGAAACCTTCGCCTTCTTGCCGTAGTCTACGGACAGGCGCCCCAGCATCAGGCAGCCGAGCCCGGAGCAAGCGCCTCCGCCGACGGCGTTGTAGATCATGAAGCCTTGGATGCCTGTGCGATTGTCGGCCAGCTTCCTGGTCCGATCGAGCGCGAGGTCGACGATCTCCTTGCCAATTGTGTAGTGCCCGCGCGCGAAATTGTTCGCGGTGCCCTCCTTGCCTGAAATGAGCTGCTCCGGATGGAACACTTGACGGCGCGCGCCTGCGCGCACTACATCGACCACCGTGGGCCCCAGGTCGACGAACGCACAGCGGGGGACGTGCTTGCCGGGTCCAGTCTCGGAGAAGAACGCGTTGAAGGTATCGTCGCCGCCCCCGATTGTTTCGTCGGAGGGCATTTGGCCGTCGGGCCCCCAGCATGCACTTCCAACCTGCACACCTGCCTGGCCAATGTGGATGCAGATCGCCTCACGCATTGTGCTGAAGAGAAAATTATGGGCCCTGGTGTTGCGTGCGCTGCCGCTGGGGGAACTCACGCGGCCTTTCCTCTAAGCCTCCTTGGCCATTCCACGGAAGACCCGATGGTGTAAAGGCACGCGCATTGCATCTGCAACCAGCTAAAATGCGAGCGACGCCGTGCGCAGAATGACCTTTCCTGGGCCTTCACTAGGCCGACTACGAAATCGAAACGGTTTCCGCTGTCACTGGAAATCCCACCGTTTCGCTGACAGAACAAGATGTTGGACGCATGCCGAAATCAAGCTCCGAAGACGGCTGAAACTCCTGGGCCGCCCCGCCAAGTTTGCAGCTCGTTCGCGAAGTTTTTTGTTTGAACCCCATGCCCGCCATGCTAGACAAAAGGGCGCGGAGTTCATGATCCTAGGGGCCCTCTGCGGCAAGCTCCGAACGGTCGGGGCAAGAGCGAGAGAGACAGCACGCGCCGATCAAGCTGTTCCTTTTCGTGCCATTGCCCTCGGGGCACGGCTAATGAAGGTCGGCTCGTCCGCGCTCTCGACGGGGCGCTTGCCATGGAAGGCTTGAGAAGCCTGCTCGGTGCAGAGGGGCTCGCGCCCTGCAAGGATGGGCCAATGGCCTCCAGGGGCATCAGGGGGGGCCCGGCGGGGAGATGTTCCCGCCCATCTCGACGGCAATCGCCATGCTGCACGTCGCCCTTCGTGCAAAAGATGGCCAGCAGCTCCCTTGCGCGCGAGCCCCATGCCTGCGCCATGTCCGACGCGCGCATGTTTAGGACTCCAAGGCCTGGGTCACCATTGGCGAAGGTAGGCTACGTCGTGCGGTCCACGGGTCCCTTCATGCTAGTCATCTCGCCCTCGGCCTCCACGACGAATGGGCGCGTCGGCTCGCCGACCGAAGTAGGGGAGGGCGGGTTTACGCTCGCTATCAGATGGCATGCTTCCAGCTTCCCATCAAAAAAATACCATGTTGTCGTGCAGCTGCGCAGCGACCTCCGCGAGCACCACCAGGCCTGCCTTGACAAGGCGCATCCTGGTCGCACGCAAGATGCGATATGCAGCAGGAGCTGGCAAGAAGTACTCATCGGCGTGTCCTCTGACCCCACCGCGTCCGTCAAAAGTTTGAGACACGTGGGCGCCAATTTGTCGCATCTGGCGATGGTGAGGACGCGTCGCGCGCATTGAAACTGTTGCGCCTTCGTGGCCAGGTCGAACCGGTCGCAGGGCGCCCGCTGGGGCTCGAAGAGCAGCGCGTGGATCTTGAGCGGCCTCTCGACGCTGTAGCGCGTCACGGCAATTGAGCAGGGACCGACCGTCCCGGCATATCGATGGGCCTACCACTGCATGTCTTTAGAGACAACAAATGTTCGAAACACAAAAACAATGTTCTTATAGCAGAAGCCCGATGTGCTTACACAAGATAAACTCAGCGATAAATGTTATAAGACCATTTCACGCGAACCACGCAATGTTCTTAGAACATTATTTGGTGGGCCTATAGGCGAGCCAGGGCGCCTCACCACTGGTTGAGGCAGAGTGGCCCTCCCAATCCTTGGAGATGGAGATGTTAGAAAGCTGCGCACTCGTCATTGGTGACGTCGCTGGGTCTCCGCATCCACGGCGGCTTGTTCGTGTAAGTGTGCCGCCGATCCTTCATGAACTCCTCGTCCTCCTGGATCAGCGGCCCGGCGCACCCAAAAACTTCCGCGACCTGCTCCTCCTCCTCCTCCTGGCCGCCGCGTGCGGTGACGGCGGCGCTGGCCGCGCGAATGCCATCTCCGCGGGCCCCAGGGGGCGCCCGCATCTTGCCCATCTGCGCCAGGCATCAGCGCGCGTGGAAGGTAGAGAGGGCCGACAGTGCGTGGCCAGGGATGACAGAGCTGGGGGCGCATTCGCTCCCGCTCCAGAGATCGCGATTGGCTCGAGCCACGCCAAACCCCAGTAGTGATGCCACAGCTTCGGGCTCCCGCAACGCGTTTCCATGCCTTGCCATGCCATAGTAACGCGACACGCTCCCCTCGGAATCAACGCGCGCCCTGGCCAGTAAGAACGTGAACGGCGAGACTCCAGGACGTAGCTGGCCAACACGAATTACATGTGTCTCGTTTTGTCGCATGGTTGTGAAGTGTTATCGCGCCGCTGCAATGATAAATCAGATCCGCCCAGAAAGGGTGAACGCTCGATTTCCAACGATCCCCCCGCCAAATTGGTTCCATGCCTCCTCTCCTCCCACTTCCGGGGGCGAGGGCATAATCGAACAACATGTTGAACGCATCGGGGGTCTCAATTCCGCCGTGGTTGCCACCGCGTGAGAAAAAAGGGAACCAATCCGTGCTCCCTGCAAAAAATAATGCAATACTCGCCGAGAATGCGCTAAAGTCCCGCATGAAGATACCACCACGCTGAGAATGTACGCCGCTGTGCAAGATAACCGTGTTCACTATGTCGCTGCCCATGCTGTCACAAGCGAAAGCCGCGTCCTTGGCACCATTGGGAAGCAAACCAACTCAACTGACGAAAAAAACAAGACGATGTCATTGCAAGACGCTCTTGGCGTACATCCGCAGTAGCAGACATCCGTCTTCGGGAAACTCGGCTGCATCACACGCAGAGCGGATCGAGTATACCACAAAGCAGCACGTCTAGCTTGCACATTCATCGATAAGTGTATATCTCAGTCGCTTTGGCCTGTGTGGGATTCAAATGTACGTATTAGCTTACACGAGGGCTGCGTATCGTCATCGTTGCCCGTTGGTCATTGTGGAAACAGCTGCCATCAACGAAATGCCGACATACATTGGAAGTGCTGGTCGATTCCAACGGTGCAGCCGTCGAAACCCGTAGCCTTAGTTTATCTTCGATCGGCCATGCAGGACTTCGAAAAGTGAGGGGCGACCAGGACTGCGACCATCCAAACATCTATTGGGAGCATGCGCGCGCGATGAATGCAATCGACGCCGTTGTATTCCGCAGTCGTTGCGTCCATCTCCAAAATGTCCCAGGCGCTCATCTCATTGTTTTTTCGGTAATCGGTGGTAACACCACCTGTCTGAGTGGTGCTGGAAGCACTGCAGCGCGAGATCGACACCGAAAACGCGAAAAACCTCACACTATCAAGACGTTAGTGGGACTACGCAATTTTGACATTCCAAATGTAATTCGAACACTCGTGAATGAACTGCTGGCCCGAACCGCCATCTAGCATGTTCAAGACAATTGTCGAATGTAATCAAATTTGACGTCCCCAAACCGCACGCGGACCTGTACCGTCGGAAAGCAAGTTGACAAACAGCTGACATCCCAAGTCCAGGAATACATAAGCCGCCTTCTGAACTATCTCGGCACAGTAAGCTCATGGCCATAATAAACGAACCTACTGCTGGGTCCCCACGCTGACATTTTCCTACTCGAATGCCACACCGTCCCCGAATTCGGAGCGTAGTCGCCCAACGACTGCCGTAGCGGCAGCCCGACCGCCCTCGCAGGCCATTCAGCCAACAACGGAGCAACTGCCAGGGCTGGCCAGTGGGGCGAACAAAAATGGGGGGGAGAAACGTGCACCTTTCCTGTCCTTGGGGGCCAGAGCGGACCCTTTAGGGTCCGAAACTTTTCTCGACCCCCCCCATTCATCGCCCCCCCATTGCGCAAAGACAGAAACGGTCAACCTGGCACGAGCCCGGGTCAGTCGCCTGCTTTCCTCCCTGTCCTCATCCTCCTACTGCTCGTCCTCTTCCTCCTCTTCCTCCTCCTCCTCCTTTCCCTCCTCCTCTTCCTCCTCTTCATCCTCCCTCTCCCCCCTGGCGCGACGTTGCACCCACAAACTTGCTCACAACTCACCTCAACGACGCACCGTCCCGCCCCGTCTCGTCTGGCATGCCCGGGCCGGCGACCGAACGTGCCCAGGTGGAGTGCCGAGGGAAACGACGGGATGAACGGGAAGGAAGCGGGGCATCATGACCGAGGCTCAAAGCCGAGACGCCGTGTCGATCTTGGTCGCCGTGGATTTGCGTGGTCATCCTCGCGAGTCGGCGATGGCTGACATGGACCAGGTGGACCATAATGAAGATCGGCATCGACGAGATCCCGCGGCATCCTGCTCATGGTCCCCGTGTTTTCTCCTTCGAGGTGAGCAGCGGGAGACGGCGAGGCGAGGCCCCACAAGGGGGAACAGCGGGACCACCGCAGACAACGGAACCCCGCTATGAGCTCCCACCTCCTCCCCCTCCTCCTCCTCTTACTCCTTCTCCTCCTCTTCCTCCTCCTCCTCCTCCTCCTCCTCCTCCTCCCCCTCCTCTTCCTCACTCGCCTCTTATCTTCATCTCCCCTCCTCTTCCTCCTCCTCCTCTTCCTCCACCCCCCCGTCCTCCTCCTCCCATCATCTCCTCTTCCTTCTCCCCCTCCTCTTCCTCCTCCTCACTCGCCTCTGATCTTCATCCCCGTCCTCGTCAGAGCGCCAGCCCGCAAGCACATGCCCATCCTACTTGATAGTAAGTTTGTGGTTCTTCGAGAAGCAACCTCAATCGCGTTGCATAATTGGGGGGCCTTGTCTATACCAGGGTCCCCCTATTCGCGTCGAATCCACGTCGAATCCATGACAATCTTGAAAGCCTCGTCAAATCCACGTCGAGGCCGCGCCGAACCCACGTCGAGGCCGCACGAGAAGAGACAACATAACCCCCAGAGATGAGATGCAGCGTACGTCAACAGCCGGCCAAAGGCAACGGCCGATCTTGGATTCAGACGAAAAGGAAAAAAATATCCCGGCAAAGTAACCTAACAGCGATGTGTATAAGCATATCTGGAAGCATTCCCCTTAAGATTCAGGTGAGAATCCAGTTGTAGCATTCTGCTGTTCTCGCAGTCGCAGCCTGAGCCTGACTCGGCTTGCCTCGGCCTCAGCCTCAGCCTGCCTCGGCCTCAGCCTCAGCTTCAGCCTTCCTCAGCCTCAGCCTCAGCCTGCCTCAGACTCAGCCTGCATCAGCCTGAGCCTCAGCCTGCCTCAGCCGCAGCTTGCCTCAGCCTCAGCCACAGCCTCAGCCTCAGCCTACGCCTGCCTCAGATTCAGCCTCAGCCACAGCCTGCCTCGGCTTGCCTCGGCCTCAGCCTCAGCCTGCCTCGGCCTTAGCCTCAGCCACAGCCTGCCTCGGCCTCAGCCTCAGCCTGCCTCAGCCTCAGCCTGCATCAGCCTCAGCCTCAGCCTGCCTCAGCCGCAGCTTGCCTCAGCCTCAGCCTCAGCCACAGCCTCAGCCTCAGCCTGCCTCCGATTCAGCCTCAGCCTCAGCCTGCCTCGGCTTGCCTCAGCCTCAGACTCAGACTGCCTCGGCCTCAGCCTCAGCCTCAGCCTGCCTCAGCCTCAGCGTAAGCCTCTCAGCCTGCATCAGCCTCAGCCTCAGCCTGCATCAGCCTCAGCCTCAGCCTCAGCTTGCCTCAGCCTCAGCCACAGCCTCAGCCTCAGCCTCAGCCTCAGCCACAGCCTCAGCCTACGCCTGCCTCGGCTTGCCTCGGCCTCAGCCTCAGCCTGCCTCGGCGTCAGCCTCAGCCTCAGCCTACCTCAGCCTCAGCCTCAGCCTGCCTCAGCCTCAGCCTGCATCAGTCTCAGCCTCAGCCTGCCTCAGCCGCAGCTTGCCTCAGCCTCAGCCACAGCCTCAGCCTCAGCCTGCCTCAGCTTCAGCCTCAGCCTCAGCCTGCCTCGGCTTGCCTCAGCCTCAGCCTCAGCCTGCCTCGGTCTCAGCCTCAGCCTCAGCCTGCCTCAGCCTCAGCGTCAGCCTCTCAGCCTCAGCCTGCATGAGCCTCAGCCTCAGCCTGCCTCAGCTTCAGCCTCAACCACAGCCTGCCTCGGCTTGCCTCAGCCTGCCTCAGCCTCAGCCTCACAGTTGGCTCCGGGGAATCAAAATATGATGCAATAGTTGTATTCTGGGAGCACGAAGAACACGAAGTGGCCCACAGTTGGCTCCGGGCATTCAAAATGTGGCCTGGGAGTGTTCTGGGAACACGAAGAACACGAAGTGGCATACAGTTGGCTCCGGGCATTCAAAATGTAGCCTGGGAATTGTGTTCTGGGAACATGAAGAGGACGAAGTGGCCTACAGTTGGCTCCAGGCATTCAAAATGTGGCCTGGGAGTAATGTTCTGGGAACACGAAGAACACGAAGTGGCCTACAGTTGGCTCCAGGCATTCAAAATGTGGCCTGGGAATGGTGTTCTGGGAACACGAAGAGCACGGAGTGGCCTACAGTTGGCTCCGGGCATTCAAAATTTGACCTGGGAATGGTGTTCTGGGAATGGATTCCTAAGGATTCCTAAGAATTTCTAAGGATTCCTAAGGAAATTCCTGGAGCTGCCGGTTTTGTCCGGTTTTGTCCGGATCCCGCCCAGACCCCCCTGGGGCGTCAAGATGCTCTCTTTTGTCTTCGCTGTTAGGTAAATGGTACATGAGTTTAATGTGTTCGGAAGTCCGCGATGATTTCTTGGATCGGCGACAGTCCTCTCATCCCCGGCGCGCGCAGCGCCTTGAGCCTTTCGGGGGGGGGGGGGGGCCTGCGCCGATGCAAGAAATCCACGTGGACTCTCATGCTTTTTTTGAGGGCAACAATATACGGATAGGTCGGGCATGCCCTCCTACTGGCGGATTTTGGAGAGCAAATAGAGCATCGTTTTGTTTTTACAGAGCCAAACAAATCAAACACCGTCCCCCGACCATTCTTAGATTTTGCTTTGAATCTTCCTCCTGGAGAAGGACAGGCCCGACCTAGCATTATAAGGATGACCGGCCAAGGGGGGGGGGCGTACCGACCTGGAACCGACGACGCCCCGCCGCTGGATCGGCGGCAGGCCCCCGACAGCGAACCCGCGCGCCCCTGGACCCGAGGGGGGACCATCAGGCCCCTTCGCGGCGAGAGTAGGGGGAGGAGGGGGAGGAGGGGGAGGAGGAGGAGGAGGAGGAGGAGGAGGGGGAGGAGGGGGAGGAGGAGGAGGAGGAGGAGGAGGAGGAGAGGGAGGAGGAGGAGGAGGAGGAGGAGGAGGAGGAGGAGGAGGAGGAGGAGAGTGCGCGACTGGGGGGTCGGTGCCCGGCCCCCCCCCCCGCCTGACGCTGCACCTCGGCCCTCGGGCCCATGCCTTGGCCCGCCGGGCGGCCGCTCGGGGGCGCTCTGGGCACCCCCCCAGGACGCCCCGGGCGAGGCGCGGCGGCCGGAGCGCGCCCCGAGCCCGGGAGGCCGCCGAGAAGCGACGCCACGAGCGGCCGGGGCGCCTCGAAGCTTCGACTCCGCGAGAATCGGCCCCCCCCCCCCCCCCCCTGTGAGCCTACTGGGATGACCGCGGGGGGTGCTCAGGGGATCGGGGAGGTGATCGGTGGATGCCAGCGTGGATCGTATCTGGCCCAACCTGGCGTGGGAGTGGGTTGAGGTTCCCTTGACGGCTTGGTCAGGCCGGGTACCTCTGCGCAGAGAGCTGCTCCCACCTCGCCCACCACCTGGGACCCCTGCAGCCCACTCACAAAATCTGGTCTAGGCGCGATGCATCATCCCCTTACGCCTCCCCTTGAAACACCCCGCATTCCCTCACAGCAGCCCCCGCGGCCATCCCGACAGCCCCCCTCCCGAGCGTTGCGCTGATCGAAGATCCGTGGGCGGCCGGGGCCCGCGCCGTTCGCCTCGATCGACCCGGGCCAGACCCACTCGGACGCGGCGGCGCCCGCGCTCCTCGCCGCGCGGAAGGTCCGGGGGGGGGGCGCGCCGCCGCGGGAGGGCCACCCGGAGGGGGCCTTCCTGGCGGGGTCGGGCCCTCGGGCGACCAGGAACGGGGGCGAGGGGTCGAGGTGGTTGCGTGGCACAGTCAGCCCGCACAGTAAGGATGCGCGATGAGGATGCAAGGGCCTTGGGCGCCCATTTCGAAGTTTTCGAGCGGGGCGCGACCAGCGAAAGCGGCCAAGGATGGGCCGAGGAGGCAAGGATGCCAGGGTACCCTTGGGAGGGTTGCCCATCTTCACTGTGCGGGTTGACTGTGCAGTCGGGCCGCTGAGATGAGGAGCGTCAAGTCGCTAAACAAGGGACGAAGTCCCCTTTAGGTCCAAAGCCGCCTTCGTTCACGAGGAGGGCTGGGGGAGGAGCCCGTGGAGGGACCCCAGAAAAAGTCGAGCCCCTTCCGAACCCAAGCTGTTCCTTATTCTAGCGCTTTGACTCTCATCCTTCACCGCGCCTCGAGGCACGAAGTGGAGTGTCCCCAGGCCCTCAAAAGGTTCTCTGCACGCTGTGTTCCAAATTGTAGATACGTGCTGCGAGGGGCAGGAAACCACGACCCCCACATTTTCTCGGAGCTCCCCCGCACGCTCCCGGGCAAAATCGCGCGTTTTTCCAGAGGCCCGATGGCCACGATGACGGGCCAAGGGGGCCCCAAAACGTACCCAAGAGGGCCCATGAAGCATCCGAGGCAAGCCGGGAACGCCTCAAGACGCCCAACATGGCCTCCAGACGGCTCGCGACTACCGCTAACAAGCAACGACAGTTCATGTTGCACATAATAAGTAAACCGTGAATTAACGTATGAGCCACGTCTACTCCGCAGAGCGGGGGTAGGGGCATGAAACTCATCGACAAAAACCTTGCCTCGACCGCCGCAATCGCCGCGCGCGGCGACCTCCCAAACCGACCCTGACTTGGTTCAAGGGAGACGGGGGATCGAGGAAAAAGATTCAGACCCAGACGCACTCGCGTCGTCAAACATCTCACGGCGGTGAATGTTTGGCCGTTCCTGGCATCTGGGGGTGCCATGATAGCTGGCAAGAAGTTTTGCGTGTGCGTGTGCGTGTGCGTGTGCGCGTGCGCGTCCATGTGCGTGCGCGTTCGAGTGTGCGTGTGCGGGTGCGTGTGCGGGTGCGTGCGCGTGTGCCTGTGCGCTTGCGTGTGCGTGTGCGCGTGCGTGTGCGTGTGCGCGTGCGTGTGCGTGTGCGCGTGCCCGTGCGCGTGCGCGTGCGCGTAAGCCTGCGCGTGCGTGTGCGTGCGCGTGCGCGTGCGCGTGCGCGTGCGTGTGCGCGTGGGCGTGCGTGTGCATACGCGTGTTTGTTGGTGTAAATGTAAGTGTAAGTACGTGTGTGTGTGGGTGCGTGCGTGCGTGCGTGCGTGCGCGCGTGCGCGTGCGCGTGCGCGTGCGCGTGATTGTGCCGGCGCACGTGCGCGTGCGCGCGCGCGTGAGCGTGCGCGTGTGCGTGTGCATGGGCACGGGAGTGCGCGTGCGCGTGCGCGTGTGCGTGTGCGTGTGCGCGTGCGCGTGCGCGTGTGCGTGTGCGCACGCGTGCGCGTGCAATTGCGTTCGCGCTTGCGCGTGCGCGTGTGCGTGTGCGCGTGCATGCGCGCGGCGCGCGCGTGCGCGTGTGCGTGTGCGCGTGCGTGTGCGCGCGCGTGCGCGAGCGCGTGTGCGGCGCGTGCGCGCGAGTGCGCGTTCGCGCGCGCGTGCGCGTGCGCGTGTGCGCGTGGGCGTGCGTGTGCGCGTGCGTGTAAGTGCGCGTTCGCGCTCTCGCGTGCGCGTGTGCGTGTGCGCGTGCATGTGCGTGCGCGCGTGCGTGCGCGTGTGCGTGTGCGCGTGCGTGTGCGTGTGCGTGTGAGCGTGCGTGTGCGTGTGCGTTTGCGTGTGCGCGTGCGCGTGGGCGTGCGCGTGCGTGTGCGTGTGCGCGTGCGTGTGCGTGTGCGTGTGCGTGTGCGCGTGCGTGTGCGTGTGCGTGCTTGTTGGTGTAAGTGTACGTGTGTGTGTGTGTGCGTTCGTGCGTGCGTGCGCGTGCGCGTTGGCGTGTGCGTGCGCGCGCGCGTGCGCATGCACGTGCGCGTGCGCGTGCGCGCGCGCGCGTGAACGTGCGCGTGTGCGTGCGCATGAGCGTGCGACTGCGCGTGCGCGTTCGCGTGCGCGTGCAATTGCGCGTGCGCGAGCGCGTGCGCGTGCGCGCATGCGTGCGCGTGCGCGCGCGTGCGCGTGCGCGCGCGCGTGCGCGTGCGCGTTTGCGCGTTTGCGTGGGCGTGTGCGCGTCCGTGCGCGTGTGCGTGTGCGCGTGTGCGCGCGCGTGTTCGCGCGCGTGCGCGTGCAATTGCGTTCGCGCGTCCGCGTGCGCGTGTGCGTGTGCGTGTGCGTGTGCGTGCGCGTGCGCGTGTGCGCGTGCGTGTGCGTGTGCGCGTGCGCGTGCGCGTGCGTATGCGCGCGCGTGCGCGTGCAATTGCGTTCGCGCGCGCGTGTGCGTGTGCGTGCGCGTGCGCGTGTGCGCGTGCGTGTGCGCGCGCTTGTGCGTGTGCGCGTTCGCGTGCGCGCGCGCGTGCGTGTGCGCGCGCGTTTGCGCGAGCGCTTGCGTGCGCGCGCGTGCGCGCGCAAATCTGCGCGTGCGTGTGCGTGTGCGCGTGTGTGAATATGTGATCATGTGTGCGTTTGTGCTTCTGTCGTGGCGATGTGCCCCACCGCTGTCGCGCGCAATGTTACGCGCGCGCACAGCTCGCGCCCGTCACCCCGCGCGGCCCGCAGCACCAACAACCGCACCTGCATCCAAGGGCGGTTGCGGCCTCAGCGCCGACGGCAGCCGCGCCGTCGGCCCGTCTTGGCCCCATACGCATGCCCTTCGTAGCCGCGCTGTCGCCCGTCGTGGCCCTCTCGCTGCCCTTCGTGGCCCCTGTGCTGCCTTCAGTGGCCCCGTCGTCGCCCTTTGTGGCCCCACATGCGCATGCCCTACGTGGCCGCCGCTCGTTCGCGCGCGTCGTGGCCCCATATGCATGCCCTTTTGTGGCCCCGGCGTCGCCCTTCGTGGCCCCCTCGCTGCCGTTCGTGGCCCCGGTGCTGCCCTCAGCGGCCCCGTCGCTGCCCTCTGTGGCCCCAGATTAAATGCCCTTCGTGGCCCCCGCTCGCTCGCGCCTTTCGTGGTCCCATACGCATGCGTTTCGTCGCCCCGCTGTCGCCATTCGTGGCCCCCTCGCTGCCCTTCGTGGCCCACTTTCTGCGTTCAGTGGCCCCGCTGTCGCCCTTTTCTGGCCCCGTGATATGTATGCCCTTCGTGGCCCCCGCTCGTTCGCGCCCGTCGTGACCCCATATGCATGCCCTTCGTTGCCCCGGCGTCGCCTTTCGTGGCTCCCTCTCTGCCCTTCGTGGCCCCGTTTCTGCCTTCAGCGACTCCGTCGCTGCCCTCTGCGGCCCCCTATGCGCATACCCTTCGGGGCCCCCGCTCGTTCGCGCCCGTCGTGGCCCGCGCCATCAACGGCTCCCGCCTGATATTTCCTCACAATGTATTGAAGAATCGCGCTCTCGCTTGGATTCCCTTGCAATTTACCACCGAATCGCGGCTCCCGCCTGATACTTCCTGAGAGTTTATTGGAGAATCGCGCTCTCCATTTGGACTTCCTCGCAACCATGCGCATGCCCTTCGTAGCCCCGCTGTCGCCTTTCGTGGCCCTCTCGCTGCCCTTCGTGGCCCCTGTGCTGCCCTCAGTGGCCCCGCTGTAGCCCTTTGTGTCCCCACATACGCATGCCCTACGTGCCCCCCGCTCGTTCGCGCCCGTCGTGGCCCCATATGCATGCCCTTCGTGGACCCGCTGTCGCCCGTTGTGGCCCCCTCGCTGCCGTTCGTGGCCCCGGTGCTGCCGTCAGCGGCCCCGCCGCTGCCATCTGTGGCCCCGGATTATATGCCCGTGGTGGCCCCCGCTCGCTCGCGCCCTTCGTGGCCCCTCCTCCCTCCTTCTTGCCACTCCCCTCCCTTCCTCCGATTCCTTCGTCCTCCAACTCCCCCGTTATCTGTTACCCTTCGCTTTCAAGGGTTTCACCAACCACACGAGGCGGGGAATGAATATACCCCCCAAAAGGGGGTACGATCGAAAACGAAGAGGGCGGGTATCCAAGGTTTGGGATATGCATATTCAATGACACGCGAGCAGATAAGGGCGAACAGTCTGAACATGATTGCTGTTGTTGTTGTTGATGTTGTTGTTGTTGTGGTTGTTCTTGTTGTAGTTGTTGTTGTTGTTGTTTGGTTTGGGGGCCGGTCCTCATATTCAATGAAAACGCAGCCGGCGCCTCGGCGAGAACGCCAGGGCGCCTGTAAGGGATCCAACTATAATACACACTTAACAGCAACAACAGCAAAATCAACAGCAGCAGCAGCAACAATAATTAACAACAGCAACAACAACAACAACAGCAACAGCAACAGCAACAGCAACAACAACAACAACAACAACAACAACAACGAACACAACACCACCAACAACAACAACAGCAACAACAACAGCAGGAGCAGCATCAACAGCAGCAACAACAGCATCAACATCAACAGCGACAACAATAACAATAATAGAAATCCGCCGATCCGGCGTGTGAGTTTCACAAAGCCTTCGCAAGAGCTTCAGCTCTGCTTGTGGGGGGGGTGCTGGGGTGGCTGTGCCCGGGAAGGGGGGGGGGTACGCGGGGGGGACGCGCGACCCATGTTTCCCCATCTGGTTCATACTTATTATTATACGAAGGCCCCAAGGACACTGGGATTCTTCCGTCGGGATGTCCCCAGGACTCCCCCCTCGGAACCACCCCCTGCCACTCGGGACTTTCCGAAGGCTCCCTCCTCTGGACTTTTTCACGCACTCTCCTCGGGACCAGTCCCTTTGGGACTCTCCCCGACCCCCCTCCCGGACATTTCCAGGCCCTTCCCCGGGACCCCCCAGGACTTTGCCCAGACCTTCTCGCGGAC